ATAGATAGATAGATAGATAGATAGATAGATAGATAGATAGATAGATAGATAGATAGATAGATAGATAGATAGATAGATAGATAGATAGACCTCTTTTTAACTGGGATTCAAAAAGTACAAACAATTTAAAACCATCCCACAGTCTCATTTGATATTTATGTTTGTTTTGTATCATTTGTTGAACACAGGAGTTTTCGTGTGTGACTTTGCACATATCAACGCCACGACCTCACTGAAAACTCACTTCACATCAAACGCACAAACCAACAAAACACGCAGAGATTTCTACGCTGCCAGCCTCCACTTCTCTGCAGGTGTGCCTTCAAGTAAGAAGGGTATTTGGAAAGTAACAGTATTGTTGCAATAAGTGCCATCAATTTATTTTTTAGGTTGTCTTTCCACCAATTTTCATTTGTTACAGTTTAAAGTTCAGTTTTATTCCAGTAGTTTGTATATTTTTAACTTAAAACATTTGAAATAATGAAACTAATCTCTTGCCACTAGTTTGAAAAATCACATAAAACACAATATTGAGGCTTAACAGCAAAATCTTATTTTACTTTGTAGACTTTTTTCACCAAATACATTTTTTCAGGAAATTCCAATAATCCCTTATCCATGTCATCTGTTAGCAGGACAAGCTTCTAAAATATTAAAGTCTTTAGATTTAGTGATGCTGAATTTTAGTGTGAGAATGGAGGAAAATGCCAGCAGAGTTCAGGACTATAGAGGAGAAGAAACAAATCAGTCATGATGAAAGTTGAAGCACTATTAATTTTTTGCTATAAATCATGTTTCATTGATGAAGTTTTTGACCTTTGGAGATCAGTTAATCTGTACACGGCAGATATTTCTACCAGTGGCAGTTAAATACAAGGCATCGTTTTCAGCAAGTTGTTTACAAGCCGAGCTTAGATTTGTCATTAAATAGTTGGCTGTTCAGTGCTTCAGCATCTCATCATCAACAGATAGGGTCACTAAGTGTGAGGAAAGGCCTTGAAGTGGTAAATGGGTTCGCCTGAGATTCCAAAGGTGGTGTGGTTTTATTGATCTGGGTCTTTGGTTTTGGGGTGGTGACTAACAGGAGCAGGTGACAGACTGGCAGGGAGACGATATGAGACGGTTACCAGAGGTGACAATCCTGGACAGGGTGGAGCGTTTACCACCGTGACTAATGCTCGAGATGTTTCCATCACTTCAGAGGACATGTACGGGATTTCCTGCGGACCTGACCACGGCAGCTACCTGCCTATCCTTACCCAGAACCATCTCACCTTTGAATTCAGGACACGTGTGGTGTTTTGAACCTGGAATGGGGGGGCAGGTTGCCACAAACAGAGAAGCGTTTCATCCCAACGTGAGGTTTACAGCACTCAGTCCCACACCCACAGGAGTCAAATGCAGCAGGAATTCTTGACAGCTTCCTTTTAAGGCCGCTGCCTGAGCAGTCCACGGTGCCAAGCCGGTGTCCTGTTTGGACGAGAGGACGATCCTGGAAATACTGATACTTCACATGTTACTGGAGAAGGAAAGCAGAACGTCAGCTGCCGGATTTTTGGCTTTAAGCTCGCCCTTTAAGAGTAATTCAAGTAAAGAATAGTTGCATCGAGTGCCGATGCTTCTGCTCGACAACCCAAACAGTGTGCGGTGTGGGTCGCTTTAGTCCAAACAAGCTTGAGTCCAGATGACAGACTTTAGGACCAGTCCGCCCACAGCTCTACCTCTGATTCTGTTTACACAGTGGAGGCTGAATGTTCAAGGGAAAACGCTTTGCTTTGCATGTAATTGCTTATGATTCTTTCTCCTGACTTCAAAAGGCAGGGAGTGCTGCAGGTCGAAGGTTAAAGCCTCCACCGGTGCCCAAATACCCTCCAATTTCCTGTTTTGTCTGACTTTGTGAGTCCAAAAAAGATCTGAAAAGTGAAGATGGAGCTTTGATGGAGCCAAAAGAACCTCATTTCTGTAATCCTGACGTACACACACACACACACACACACACACACACACACACACA